TGAAGAGAAAATAAACAAATGGGACTACATCAAAATAAAAAGCTTCTGTACAGCAAAAGAAACCATCAATAAAACAACAAGAAAGCCCACTTCATGGGAGAACATATTTGCCAATTTTATCACTGATAAGGGTTTAATCTCCAACATTTACAGGGAACTCATACAACTTAACAAAAGGAAGATAAACAACCCAATCAAAAAATGGGCCACAGACCTAAATAGACACTTTGTAAAAGAGGACATAAGGCTGAGAGACTTATGAAAACATGCTCAAAGTCACTACTCATCTGAGAGATGCAAATCAAAACGACAATGCAGTACCATCTCACACCTGTCAGAATGGCTATCATCAACAAATCAACAAATGATAAGTGCTGGAAAGGATGTAGAGAAAAAGGAACCCTCGTGCACTGCTGGTGGGAATGCAGACTGGTGCAACCACTGTGGAGAACAGTATGGAATTTCCTCAAAATATTAAGAATGGAACTCCCATTTGACCCAATAATCCCACTCCTATGAATACATCCCAAGAAATCAGAAATACCAATCAGAAAGGATATATGCACCCCTATGTTCACAGTGGCACAATTTACCATACCTAAGATTTGGAAACAGCCTAAGTGCCCATCAGCAGATGAGTGGATTAAAAAACGGGGGTACATCTACACAATGGAATACTAAGCTGCGATAAAAAAAAGAAGGAATTCTTACCATTTGCAACAGCATCGATGGAACTGGAGAGCATTATGCTAAGCAAAATAAGCCAGTCAGAGAGAGATAAATATCACATGATCTCAACTATTTGTGGAATATAATGAACAACATAAACTGATGAACAAAAACAGATCCAGAGACAGAGAAGCATCAATCAGATGCTCAAACCTCAGAGGGAAGGTAGGGGAGGGTGGAGGTAAGGGGGAGAGATCAACCAAAGGACTTGTATGTGTGCATATACGCCTAACCAATGGTCACAGACACCAGAGGGGTGAGGGCATGACTGGGGGTATGGGGGGATAATGGGGGAGGTAAGGACACGTATGTAATACCTTAATCAATAAAGAAAAAAAGTTATTTGGATATAAAAGTCAAGTCCTTAAAAAATAAAAGCAAGCTCTGTCTTGAGGGTTGTAAAAAAATTGAAATTGAAATTTCATTAAGTGCTTCTAGAATAAATTTTAAAAGCAAACAAAATAATTAGATAACATTATTCCAAAGCTGGATTCCATTCAAGTTAACACAATTAACATTTATTAAACACCTCTTCAAGATATAAACACAAATTTACAAGGCAGGTCAAGTATATACTGACTTAAGATGGATCCCATGAAACTTACAGAAAAATAATTTTCCAAAATCATTAATTATTCCTTATTGTAATTTTTCAATTAAATCCTATAAATTCAATAAATGTATAATATAAAGAAAATATAGATTTAACAATCTGAATACTGGACTAAAAGATTGCTATTGTCATAAAGAATTTTTAAAGGCTAAGTGGGAGAATTAGGAAAGATCACCAAGAGTAAACATGTGTCCTTAGAGACCAACACTAAGGCCATCCACACCCTTGTATTTCTGATTACTAAGAGCAAATGCGAACGTTGGAAAGTGAAGAAGGCCGATAGGCATAAAAATGATTCATAGTGTTAGAGTAGAGCTCTGCAGATCCTGGAAAGAAAGGCGAATAAGTGGGTTCTAGAGCAAATGAACCCTAACACATTGCTGGAAGCACAAGTGACAAAATTGAAGTTGCCCTACTTTAGGCACATCATGAGAAGGCAGAGTTCTTTGGAAAAGACTATGTAATGCTGAGAAAAATCTAAGGCAAAAGGAAGAGAATGGCCAAATATAAAACGGATTGGTTCCATAAAAGAGGCCACAGGCATGAATCTACAGGAGCTGGGCAGGGCTGCTGAGGATAGGACATTGTGGACATCACTCATCAGAGAGTCGCCAGGAGATGGGAACAACTCAATATGTAAAACACACACACACACACACACACACACACACACACACACTCCTCTCAAATATAAAAGAAATTACTCTGGGAATGTTATCTATCTTATAAAAGCCCAGTGACTTCTACGGCAGAATGACCAGAATGACCGGTCGCTATGATGTGCACTGACCACTAGGGGAAGATGCTCAATGCAAGAGCTGCCCCCTGGTGGTAAGTGCACTCCCACAGTGGGAACACTGCTCAGCCAGAAGCCGGGCTCACAGCTGGCAAGAGCAGCGGTGGTGACGGGGAGTGGGCCTAACCCAGCAGTAGGACATCCCCTGAGGGGTCCCGGACTGCTAGAGGGTGCAGGCTGGGCTGAGGGCGCCTCCCCCTCCAGTACACGAATTTTGTGCACTGGACCTCTAGTTTTTATATATAAAATCTTCCACTGACTTTCTCTCCACATCCATTAACTACTCCAGCCTTCCTTTGGCATCATTCTACTGTAACTTCTCACAAAGATGCTCTGGGCCTCACTGTCGCATCCAGGAGCTTTTCCTGTTGCCTCCTGCTCCTCCTCCCTTTCTTTGACTCTTCTCTTTTCTCCATGTTCTTTCTGGGCGAAATGATCAAGATACACATTTCCAAAACAATGATTGTATTTCTAGAAACCAGTCTTTCATCCCAGCATCAAGTATTTTCAGCATCCTATTGGGACTTCCATTAAAACCTCAAATTCAAAACATCTAAAACAGAATATCTTTCCTTCAAGCTGCCTCATTCTCCGGGATTTCTTCTCTCGGCTGGCAGAATATAACCATACAGGGGGTGAGAAACCTCAGTGTTATTTCTAGCTACATGTCCTCCCTTGCTCTTCAAACCCCGTCAGTCTGTCCCCAGCCCCTTCCTTAAGAATGCCTCCTCTGCATTCCCCAGCCACTGCTCACACTCAGTCCTTGCCTGAGTGTTTCCATAGCCTCCCCGCCCCCCGTCCTTTTTTTCCTCAATCCATCTTATATCATGTTTTTCCTACTTCACCCCACCCTGTCTGAAAACATGTGATGAATGAACACTGTGAGAGGACAAAGTTCTGAACAGTACATACATATTTACTCCTGACTTGGCCAAAGCAGTCTTTTTAGACTTTTCTACAGACATGTTCAATAGACTTCACTGAAATTCTTGTACTGTTTCCCAACTATGATGTGGGTGGAAATGGCAGAATGATACACCACCTTCATGTGAGTTGCTTTCATATACTGCAGACGTCGAAAAGCAGGCAAGTTCCCCTTCCGGGATCCCTTACAGCTATAATCTGATTGTTCTGTAGCACCCACCAGTCCAGCACTATGGCACACGCTTCAGAAGGCAGAAGTGATGGAGGCCACACATCTGCTGCCTCTGCTGTTTTACTGGTAAGCATGTCATGTGGAGGTTTTGTTTTTCTCGGGCAGTGGACATCTCAAATATAAAAGAGATTTTTATAAAAGAGGCCAGTCCCAGTCACTGACCTCTTCCATGTGGAGTACCAGGGTATGGCTATTTAACTGGTATAGTTCGTAACATTAAATAACAGTCAGTACCTGTAGCAGCAGCTTCTCCATATGGGTGGGGGATTCCTGATCAAAGATGAGGACCTAACTATCTCGGTAGTCTTGTCGTGTGGTGTGATTTTAATTAAGGTCATTTCCAAAAGTTCAACTTCGAGTCTCCCAGGAATTATTTTCCTGAACTGAAGTTACTTCCTGCTTGAACAGCTAGAATGGATTCTGCCATATGCAACTGAATTCTGAGTGTTACATATGCCATTCACTTGCAAAAGTCCATGTCTTTACTGGAATGTCCCTCCCTTTTAATCTTAGTAAGCTCTAACTTAGCCTTAAAGGCTTAAGTCACATTTCACTTCCCTAGAAAACATTTCCATATATTTTTTAAGCTAAATAATTGCTTCTTTCTCTGTGGTACTATAGAATTTTGTTAATATTACTAATGTTATTATAAACACATTGTATCATAATTATTGGGTAACTTACCGTTTCCTTATTTGACCATGAGCTATTTGAGGGCAAGGAATATGCTTTCCTCCCCTCTGATTCTCTAATGCTCTGGGTTTGGCGTGTAGAGACTCAGTAAACACTGGTTGAAATGAATGCAATGCACTGAGTGTGAGAGAGTGAGTAGAGATTTCACCCTCTAATATGGAATTTCTACTAAGTGCCAAATTGGGGGGGGGGGATACCTGAGGGCCACAAATATAAGAATAGAAGACATTAACTATAAATGGAGCTGGACCAACGGTAAGTGGGATGTGCTTCTAAGTATTAAAATATGGATACAATTGGACCTTGTGAGGAAGATAAGGGGGCCATTTTAAGCTTGAATGTGAGGAAGTTTAAGGGGGTAGGGATGGGAATGTAGGGAAACAGTGGATGGATTAGGAAAAAAAACTTGAACAGAGGTTTTGTATAGGGCAGTTGTAACAGGTGAGTCATGAAAAAAGAGAGGTATCAGCAGGAAGTAGTCTAATAGAAGCCTAGCCTGGAGAGTGTGACAATTTTTCAGACAGGTAAGAGTGATTCCCTGAAGGTTTTAAAGAAAGAAACACATTTTCCAAAGCTGGCTAGGGAATTAAGAGATCTGGGTGTTGCTTTCTTAGGTTGACATGCTTTAAGAAAAATACTACTAAAAACTATTTTAAGGGTAAGTAAACTCAGAGGTCCAATGCTTGTTTGGATTATGAAAATATCCCACAGTTCACATCAGAGCTCTTTGTATGAAATCCAGGTGTCTTTTGCTCATAATAAGTTATAATTCTCAAAACATTATGAGAAGGAGAAGGATCATACTGAACGCTTCATCACCCACATTCTAAAGATGTACTAACTCCTTATCAGTCTAAAAGAAAAGAGCTTAGAAATGGAAAAGTTTGTGGGTTGTTCACCCAAATTCCATTTATTAAAAGAAACTCTAAAATATCATAAACTTTAAAGCTTGTCCTTAAGACCTTTGGTCCATTAGTGCATATGATAAATTACGTACTTAACTTTGAACTTACCCGTCCTGCATAGTGCATAATAGTGAATGCTGTGCCTTGATCTTTGAGGGCAACATTCCCATTCCCATCCTTCATGGGGGAATATACTGCATTTGTATTTGAGGATTCAAGGAGACTTTGTAGTTTTTTGGGAAGATTTGTTTCCATTGACCAAATCATTTGACTTTCTTCATCCAATAAAGAGAGAAATCCAGATGGCTTCTGAAAGTTAAGAAGAATTTTTTTTCTTCTGTTACTCAATTTGGTATTTTTGTTATTCATGAATGATCCTTAATATTTTCATCATTTCATATAAAGCACTCAGAAAATAATTGTCTTTACTTTTAACACACATCTATTTTTGCTCACTGTTAAAATCAAAACTCTGATGTAATGTAGGCCCTCAGTAGTATTTATTAATTAGAGCAGTGAATAAAAAAATTAAAGAGTATATTTTAATAACACTAAAACACTGGAATTATTAAAAAGTATAATCTCATCTCAAAAAGAAAATTAAATTTCCAACTAAAGGTAAGTTGCAATTCTTCTTGACCTATTACCATGTCAAATACTTCATACTTATGGTGACAAGTTACTTATCAAAAACCAAGACCTACAGTGATGTTGGCCATGAAAATTATGACAAAATCATTTAGTGGGAAGTACAAGTGACTATATCATATTCCAATATTTAGACTTAGGAGAAAAGAAAGCTTGAAGCTTATAACTTATAAAATTGAAATTAAATGTCTGATAGTTTATTGTGCCAAGTAGGGAAAGAAAGTCATATAGTAGGCAACAATATAAAATTAATCTTATATTAAGAAAAATAGTGCTTAAAGAACTTCCCCACCTCTGATACTGCAATCTTCCACACACAGAACACCATTCTGTTCACATGGTTTACCCATCAACTGAATAACTTTTACTAGTTCTGTGCTGCTTATCTTTTCTTTCCTAGGAAAAATTTTCTGTTGCTATGTTTTAAAATAAGGTACTTTATATTACTTCTTTTTTTTTTAATCCTCACCCAAAGGGTGAGGTTATTTTTTCCATTGATTTTTAACAAAAGTGGAAGAGGAGAGAGAGAAACATTGATTGGTTGCCTCCCACAGGCCACGAACCCACCAGCCTGGGGGTGGGGATCGAACCTGCAAGGAAGATATGTGCTCTTGAGCAGGAATCAAACCTGCAACCCTCCTGTGTGCAGGCCAACAGCCTAACCACTGAGCCATGTGGGCCAGGGCTATTATTTCTTTACATTATTCTGTCTATCGTCTGTCTTAATTCCTCACATCAAATCAATGAAGTATGAATACCATAAAAAAAAAAGAATCCTTCTCAGAAAGTGAGGAGATCTATATTGACCCTCATAGCAATTTCAGTTTTATTTTGACTTGAGGTGACTAAAACATACTACCACTGGCCTTACCCGATGTCATTTATTTGGACAACAGAAAGCCATTTTTTTGTGTCATGAATATTTGAGTTGTTTTATGCCTTTCAGAGTCTCCTGCTCATGCTAAAGAAAACCCAAAGATGGTATACAGTTAGTTGTCTGAGGGCTGCAAAAGATGAGATCGTTCTGGTGCCACTCTTAGGGAACAAAGGTTGAAAGTGGCAGATATAGGAAGACCCTCCACCTGGTGGAGGCACACAAGCCAGGAGTGGCCTTCTGGAGACATCTGGCACCTAGAGGGCCATCTCTAGGAGGCGCAGCCAATGGCCTTCCGGGAAGGAAACGGAAGAACTAATGAGGTGGAAATGCACTATGAAGGAACTGGAAATGCCTGCAAAAAGCAAGTTCACCACCTTGGCAAATTACCGAGAACACCTGGAGAGGCAGTGCTTATCAACACAAAAACGCTTTTCAATAAGGAAATTTGGAGAAAAAAGTCCATTTCAAGGAGTGTTATCCTAGCAGGCAGTTCTGCATGATACATCACAAGAATCTCAGTGTGGCAGGGACCCCATAAAGAGTCTCCATGAATAGCACAGAGGTGAAAAAATGTTAAAAATATATAGGTATACAGACGGGTGAGGAGAGGCCTTAAAAAACACTCATTGCTTAGAATATTTGTTAGGATATTGTCTGGATATTTAAATTTTTTTAAAAAGTCTTTATTTTGATTTATAGCAACCTCTTTGCTGATGAGTAAGTAAAGGAGTGATATTGGCTCTAGCTGCTTTGGCTTAGTGGACAGAGCATCAGCCTGTGGACCAAAAGGTCCCAGGTTTAATTCTCTTCAAGGGCATGTACCTCAGTTGCAGGTTCCTCCCCTGCCCAGGCTCTGGCAGGGGCTCGTGCAGGAGGCAACCAATCGATGTGTTTCTCTCACATCCTTGTTTCTTTCTGTCTTTCCCTCTCTCTTCTACTTTCCCTAAAAGTCAATGAAAAAAATACCCTTGGGTGAGGATTAACAGAAAACAACAAACAAAGACACAACAACAAAGAAAGTGTTAAAAATAAAGTGTGATATTACACTTTCAGAAGCTGCTCCTTCATCTATTAACTTGAAGCCCCCTCTCTATCTGCTGTTAAACACACACACAGACAAACACTCACAAGTGCATACAGACACGCAGTGAGGGATAAATGGGTTGCTTAAAGATTGTGTGAAAGTGTGTCCTTATTTCAGGGGCAGTGACAGACCTCCTTTGGAGGTGAGAATTTTTGTTCCTTTGATAAAGCCTTTAACGGATGGGTAAGTAAATCAAAGGCAAGGCCCCAATTAGTTTAAGGGAAGTGATTAATTCTAAAGGAGCTAATCTACTCTGCTCCAAAAGCAAGATGGTATTTTATATTTTGCAAGGATGATGTGGTTGGTTACCAACAAGATATATTTTTAAAGCATTATAATTTTTATCGTCTCCAAAAACTTTTTCAAGTTCACATGTGCTGCATTTTCTGAACATTTGCTAGAATGCCATGAAAAAACAGCAATGATCAAACTTACTGACGTGGAAAACTTGCTGCATTAGGAAAATGCATAAAAGAAGAACACAGAACATGGAGAAGTAAGTCACAAAGAGGGATTAATGACCTTTCAATTCCTTCAGAAGTGAAGGCTTAAGAGAGAATGAATTATTCCTCTGTATGCGACAGGTTATCATATGCATTTTCACCATAATAACAAAAAGCAGCAACACTGTGTGCGACAAACTGTACTAGACAGTTGGAGAACTTGGGAAGAATCTGGATCGACCCCTCCCCTCAGGGACATAAGACAAATATATGTTCATTGAAATACAAATACAGCCTATGCAAAACTTGAAATATTAGTGAGTAGTGGAAGACTGAAGGTTATGAGAAAGGAAACAATAAGCTTCTTTTGTATTGTAGGGTATATGCTTGCCTGGCATACAGACCTGTGTATTTCACCCTACACTTAGCATGCTTTTTCACTACATTTGTGTGGGTATCAAAGAAAAGCAGCAGCCAGAAATGTCCACTCTCATTTCCAACTCATACTGATAACGGCCCTACTACTGAAATTATCTTTCCAAAGATGAAGCCTCAGGGATGACAGCCAAAGAGATAGAAGAAACATCATTCAGCCGACCACTGTATAGCAGTTAATGATATAGCAGCAAATGACAATGAGGGTGGGGGTGCTGAAGCTCTTCATATACAGTTAAGTATATATTGCTGTCAGTTTGAAGATATTTTTAAAATCTCAAATAAGTTATGTACTTATGTATGTCGTGATGAGGGAGGGCTTTCTGGAGAACTAAGGTTTCTAATGTTTAAAATAGGTTGACAAGTTGGTAGCAGAACAAGAGTATTTTACCATATTAAAAACACATAAAATAATTTATAAGTAAGAGTAGAAAATTAAATACTATTCTCCTCAGTAGCTGAATGTTATCAGTTTTAAACAATGTTCATGTGTTTTAGAGATATTATGGGTAAATATACATAATCCTATATTAGTAGATAGGGGTTACTACTTATATGACAGATTTCTGTTTATATAATAGAAATATTGATGCAAAGATTCTTGCATTGCAAGGCAGAAACAAAGATAATTATAAACACTTGCCGATATTCTAAGAGGTATGCATATGTATTTTTCTGCCAGTTTTTTCATACTTATATTTAGAAACTTTAAAGATAAATAAAAAAGATTCTGAATTTATGTTATGTTCTTATTAGTCTTGCATGTTATTTTAACTAGTAAAATATAAATTTTGCTCATTGAGCATTTGCCAAAAGGAAAGTTTAGTAATATAATAAATGTGAATATTTTTATAACAGACTGATTTAATATATCTTGTTCTTTCAATGAATTAGTAAACCTTCAAATACCCCTTCAGAAAAAGGTTACATGCTCCTCAGTTGACTTTGAAAGATTATAAATGCATAGAGTCTCACATAGAAAGATATCTTCAAAAATAAGGTCTCTTAAAGAAAATTGTCTCCAGCATATGTAAATGCATGTACTAGTATTCTGTAAAGTCACTAATTATATTACATGGATACCTGGAAAAAAAAATCCAAAACTCCAGTCTGGTTACCAGGAGAATAAGCTGTTTCCATGGTAATTCCCTCTTGTACACACTCTGTTTGCTCGTGTAGAAAAAGCACTTCATTGATATAGTGGTGTATCTTCTCATTGGTCATGTTGACACAAAGCTATTATGGGAAAAAGAAAACAATTCACAAGATAATATGGCCATGCAGACCCATTCTTTCTACAACACAGATTCAGATTGGTGAAATATTGACTCAAGAACATTCAACACCAATTAGTCTATCAAGATAAAGCATTGCAGTATTGTTGAAAAGCCAAAATAAGGAGTTCCACTGGATACATTGTCTGATTATTTAATTTAAAGAATGTTAAAAACAACTAGTTATAGCATTAACTTAAAAATTTGTAGTCTAAAATACATTTGAGGATTTAAAAAATATTTCCAATACATATTTGGTCTCTAGTCAAGAAGTGAAGATAAAAGCTGGATTGACTGTGACATCCCAGGGAAAGGAGAAGCATGTCTTGCCTCCTCATTTCTGTTGCAAGAGAAAATGGGTTTCTTTCAGAAAGAATAACTGGCCTAAGCATTCTATTGCAGAAACTATGTCCTTTATCTGAAAATTTTTTGACATTTTCCCAAATGTTTGTTTTCTTCATTCCTATCAGGAAACAAAGATGTTATTTTTAACCTTAGTTTTAATTTCTTAAACTTAAAAATTATCTTAACATATTTTAAGAAAGAAAAGAAACCAAATCAGAATAAAGTCTTTCTTCCCTCTAGGCTACTCTCCTACTTTTCTACTTTCTTTTTATAACAACAACAGCTCAAAAGAGTGTCTCCTTCTCTCAAATTCCTCTCCTTCCCAATACTGACAACAGTGTAATAAAAGTTTGCCTCCCTGGTACCACTAAAATTGCTTTTGTGGAAGCCACTAGTGATGGGTGCAATTCTAAATCCAATGTTCAATCCTCAGTGTTCACTTTCCTTGACATGCCTGCCATATGTGACAATGATTCCTCCGCTTCCGTGGAGCACCGTCTCACCGTCTTCCAGAACATCATTCTCGGCCCCCTACCTCACTCGCCACGCCTATGTCCTTCTTTGACTCCATCCTGGTGATCCAGGGCTCAGTGCTCCAGCCTTGTTTCTTCCCTATCTACGCCCATTTCTTTAATGAACTCACTCAGTCTCACAGACCATCATGTTCCCCCACCTGCAACCTAACCACTGTTACACTAGGTAAAATCTAAAAGCCACTTAGAAATATTTAGAATTCCATAACTCCCTGGAAATAACTAAAGGTGAATAATTTACATAAATCAAAATAACAGAGAAAGGTAATTAAAAAGAAGCACGAGTTCAGCCAGTGTTGCTCAGAGCATCAACCTATGAACCAGGAGGTCACGGTTCAATTCCTGGTCAGGGCACATGTCTGGGTTGCAGGCTCACTCCCCAGTAGGGGGTGTGCAGGAGGCAGCCATTAAATGATTCTTTCTCATCTTTGATGTTTCTGTCTCTCTCTTCCTCTCTTTTCCTCTCTGAAATCAATAAAAAAATATATTTTTTAAAAAGCATGAGGAAACTTTGTGGGGTGATGTGTTAATTATCTTGGTGGTGTTCGTGCTTTCAGAGGTTTGTATATATGTCAGCACTTATCAAACTGTATACTTTAAATATGTGCATTTATTATGTTAATTATACCTCAATAAAACTGTTTTAAAAATAGTAGTTTAAGGCCTCTGTCCAGAAACTTTACTAAGATAAAATGCATATTCCTAGAAATTAACCCTCACTATTCTAATTCACCCTGCTAATCTCATCACCCTGCTAATCTCATCAGGATTGCTAAAGCTCAAAATGATTGTAGGCCCTTGGTGTCCAAGGCTATCACAAGAGTCGGGGGTAGAATTGGACAGGGCAACTGAAACACCACACAGGGAGGGAGACCCTTTCCACCCGGCCTGGGCTCCACCATCATCCCTGCCAACAGGGAGGCCCTGCCCACCCTTCTGGGGCTCTGGGATCAATGGAAGAGCAAAGGGAGACCCTTCCCACCCGGCCGGGACTCTGGATGGGCCCCACTGCTGCCCACAGGGAGGCCCTGTCCACCCTGCCCACCCTGCCAGGGCTTTGTGATCAATGCTGCATAGAGAGAGGCCCTACCAACCTGGCCAGGGCTCTGCGATGGGCCCGCCCAGCCTGGGCAGCTTGCCTCGGCTCTCGCAGCCACAGCTTTGTCCGGAAGGATATTCGGGGGGTCGTCTGGAATATGTCCGGTCTAATTAGCATATTACCCTTTTATTAGACACTAGAGGCCCAGTGCACAAGGTTCACAGTCCGGGAGCCCTCGGGGGATGTCCAACTGCTGGCACGGGGAATGGGCCTAAGCTGTCAGTTGGACATCCTCAGCGCTGCTGCGGAGGCAGGAGAGGCTCCTACCACCACCGATGCCCTCCCAGCCTTGAGCCCAGCTTCTGGGCTTCTGGCTGAGCGGCACTCCCCCCATGGGAGCACACTGACCACCAGGGGGAAGCTCCTGCGTTCAGCATCTGCCTCCTGGTGGTCAGTGCATGTCATAGAGACCAGTCCTTCCACTGTTTGGTCGATTTGCATATTAACCTTTTATTATATAGGATAATAGATAGAGAATAATCAATAAAGTAGAAATACACTAAATAAAAATTTAAATAACTTTATTAAAAATAAGACTTATCTATACAGCATATCTTGATACCCAAAAAGTAACAAATATAATTCTTAGCTCCAGGTCAGAAATGATGACCCAGGACTATTGCCCTTATTTACAATACTTTTTTTGCACTTCTGTTTCACACTGAAAAAATGGTTTCTGTGATTTGATGATAAATAAATGTCTATAGTTTGAATTAGCTTCCCTATTGCTTTCAATTACAAAATAAAATCTAAGTGAAAAATAGAATATGAACCACACCACATTGGTTCTGTCTTGGAAGTTATTGTAAAACCTAAAAAATAAAATAAAGTAAAATAAAATAAAATAAAATAAAATTTAGAGAATTTTCTTAAACTTAGAATCACTCTTTGCATCATTTTCTTCTTCCTAGCCCTCCATCCATGATATCTGGAATTACTTGAATTTTCTTATTTCTAACTGACATGGCCAGTAGTTATAGAACTTTTCCTCCCTGCCTCTTGACAACTAGATTTCATGAGTTATACACAAACCTGGAAGTTTTATATATTTAAAACTAAATATTTCTTAAACTTGCACTTTTACTGGTTAATTCTCTGAATATAAAAAATGCTAGAACTACAGTCACTTCAGGTGAGAACATAGCATATAGAAAATTTAACTTGAAAAGCTTGGTTGTCGAGGCAAAAACAACTGAATATGAATACAGACCAACAAATTCTGTATATTATGGCTAGCAAAGGGAGGGATGGAATGAAGAAACATATGTACTTCCTTATAACTCCTACAGTCTAGCACATTCATCCTCTTGTATTTTTTCATCAAAACTAAGTGGCTAGGAATGATTCTGGAAAGACAAAACATTTTTCATAAAACTGTGTAGCATCTGTCCACAGTAGTATCCCCACTGTGAAAGAAAAACATTTAATTGTCACTCTCATTTTAATAATAATCAAAAACAGAAAGTTCTGAAAATTATTGTGAGAGCAAAAAAAAAAAAAAGAAAATTTTAAAGTTTAGTTCACTTTGCTTAAAAAATATTTTGAGGTTTTCCACTAATCTAGTAATATGTTCAACCCTCTAATGCTAAAGTAATTTTTTACTAAAAATTAATAAAGATTGTTAAATGTGGGGTGAAATACTTACAGAAAATGAATTACTCCATTATGGAATAGAACCGTTAAAAATGTTCTCTTTGATTATAAGATATACACCACTGTAATTATTTTAACTTTTGATTTTAAAAAGTACATTAAATCATTTAAGATAACACAAATAGATCTTCTATCTCAGGGGCTTGATTTAAAAGTAGTTATGAAAGTTGTACCTAAATATAATATATTTTAGGAAATAGATTGCTCCAGAAATAAATGCTGAAGCCATGAAATATAAGGTGATGTATGTTACTATATGAAACAATAAAAAGTAATCTAATAAAGGGTTCCAAAATAAGAACATTAGTGGCCGATTCTCTATTGTACAAGAAATGTCCAAATTATATGACACTTATCTTTCTTCTCATTTTGAGATTCTCTGATTGAAAATGCTTAGATAGATGTGAATGCCTCAAATGTTTAATAGACTTTTCTTATCATTTTGCATTCAGAATAGACTGTAGCTCTGTAGCTACAAAAAAAAATTACTTTTGATGACATCCTGAATAAATCCTCTTGCTCTTTTTTATTGAATTTATTGAGGTGACTTTTGTTAATAAAATTATATAGGTTTCATGTGTACAATTTTATAATACATAATCTGTATATTGTATTTTTTGTTCAACACCCCAAATCAAGTTTCCTTCCATCATCACCTATCCCCCTTTATCCTCTTCTACCTCCCTCATTCCCATCTTTCCCACTGGTAATCACCATACTGTTGTTTATGTCTTTGAGGTTTTCTGTTGTTTGTTTTTTGCTTAATCCCTTCACCTTTTTCCCCCAGCCTCCCAACCACTCTCCTCTCTGAAAACTGTCAGTGTGTTCTTTGTATGTATGAGTCTGTTCTATTTTGTTTGTTAGCTTATTTTGTTCATTAGATTCCACATGTGAGTGAAATCATGTGATAGTTGTCTTTCTCTGACTGGCTTTTTTCACTTAACATAACACACTACAGGTTAATCCTCACTGTAATAAAAAGTATGATTTCCTTCTTTTAATGGTCAAGTAATATTCCATTGTGTAAATACACCACAGTATTTTATCCACTCATTTACTGATGAACACCTGGGCTGCTTCCAAATCTTGGTTACTGTAAATAATGCCGCAATGAACATAGGGATGCATACATTTTTTTCAACTAGTATTTCCTGTTTCTTCAGATATATTCCCAGAAGTGGAAATGCTGGGTCATAAGGAAGTTTCATTTTTAATTTTTTGAGGTAACTCTATACTACTTTCCACAGAGATTAATATCCAAAGTTTATAAAGATCTTATAAAAGCCAACACCAAAAATTAAACACAAAAAATCAATTAAAAAATGGGCAAAG